GGGAGGATTGCAGCCCAGCTTTGCTAGGAGAGTTCAGAGCAGCAGCTCCAAGACCTGGCCTGCAAACTGCCGGTCTCCTCCTCTGACTCTTCAGAAGTGACCTAAACATGAGGGGGCTTCAGGAAATGGGCAGTCATCAGACTTCTGACATTTTTCAGGGGTTTTTTTTAGAAAAAACATCATTCTTAACAAAGGAGAGTCCTTTGGGGAGGAAGAACTTCATGGCCCAGCTTCACCCAGCTCTACTAGGGCTTTGTGGTGATGGAGAGAAGTTGCTCCAGAGGTGGTGGATGTTGGGTATTCCAGAAAGCTGCAAGGGAGGAGAGGAAAAAGCTTTTCAGAGGGGATAAGTGTGGTAGTGACCCCACGTACTTCCAACTGGTCCATCCGCAGGTTTCAGGAGTTCCCAGGGAACAGCCTGGGAGATCGTCTAAACCCCTCCTTATTCTCTGCAGGGTATCGACACTGGCATGCGGATCTGCGTCCTGATGACACCCCCCTGGAAGCAGGCCTGGCTTTCACTTGTAAACTCAAGTCTGGGATCCGCTTCCTTGGACGGGAAGCTCTGGAGGCACAGAAAGCAACGGGAGTCTCCCGACGCTTGGTCTGCTTCACCGTTGAAGAGTGAGTGCAACCTCCCCAGGTCTCGGGTTTGGGGCTGGGGTGTTCTGCCTGGCTGAGTTCACTAGGAGATTTAGGACGGGTGGGATTATCTGGTCTCATCCAAAATTTTGCAAACTGGGACTGATAAGCATTGGCTGAGCCACGTGCATAAGCCGGGGTTGGAATAGAAGGGCTCGTAGCACCCCTTTTTCCATAGCCCAGAGGCCACTTCCCTGCTGAAAGTCTGCTGTGCTTTGGGCCCCACAGGAAGGTGCCTCTGTTTGGATTGGAGGCCATCTGGAGGAATGGCCAAGTCGTTGGCCACATCCGGAGGGCGGACTTTGGATTTGCCATCAACAAAACCATTGCCTATGGCTACATCCGGAACCTGGACGGAGGGCCGGTGAGTCCCCTGGGCTTTCCAAGCACAGTGTCACGGCAGGGCTTGCCTGCAAACCCAAGTTACTCTGACTGTTATCAGCTGAGAAAGATATCTCTCCTCCCCCAGCAGTCCCTAACTGGATTAAACAGAGCCAAGAGGCTCCAAGGGCCGAGCCTCCCACTCAGCCAACACGCTTGGCTCTCAAGCTGTTCCTTTGCGCCGTTCTGCCGCCAGACGTAGTCACAGGTGCAAGCCAGAACATTAATTGCAACCCTGTCTTAACCCTTCTTGAGGGGCTTCTGCCTGCTAGGGACACAGCAGACCTTTAATTAACTGCAAGGGGCCTTTAGGTAATAAAACAGATGCCCTAATTAACCCATGTGCTATAGACACAGAGATAATTAAACCTACATGAGGGAACATCGTGGTCAGAGGACTGCAGATAAGACCTCAGGGACAATTTCAGCCTCAGACCTATAGCATGCAAAAAAAACCAGGCCTTAAATTTGTGGCTGGCTTGAATTCACCTGACTGCCTTGATGAAGTCTAGGACAGTAACAAGGCCAGGCTTCTTAGCCAAGGGATTTTATGGTCCAGTTCATAGCCCCAAGCCAGTATCTTTCCCCTGCCTACTCCTGTGTCGAGGCTAGAAGGGAGCAGCCTCCTGAAGTGAAACAGCTCCCATCCTGAGCTGCGGAGAGCTTTCCATCCCCATCCACACTTGCTTCCTCCTGGCATCTCCGAATGTGATAGGCACCCGGGAGCAGATGGAGCCCAGACATCAAAAGGGCTCGGGGAAGAAATTTCTGATGGTTGCATCATGCCTGACGGAAGATCCCCCCCGGGCTGTGTGAGAGAGGGGGTGAGTGTCTCTGAGATGTAAATGCAACGCAGCGATGTGAGCAAAGACTGTGGGATCATATCTCCAGGGTCAATCCCAGCTCTCTTCTTCCTGTGCGCTCTGTCCTTTGCAATCATCGGCTTCCCTATTAATGAGAGAGGAATGGAGGTTCCTGATGAGACGTTGATATTTTTTTTGCTAGGTTGCAACCAACCAAGGAGGTAGAAGGGGGAAACATTCCCGAGGAACTTGGTCCTACTACATATTAGATGTGTGCAACCTTCATCTGCCGTCTGGATGCTTTACGTGCTATGAAAAGACAGTTTCCTTGACAGAAGAACTCAAGTGTTGTTCAATGCAAGGAGGAGTCAGATTTTAAAGGGCGTGGGGCACAGGTCTAGGATGAATGCAATGTGCAACGTGGAGTAGCCGAGAGGGTCTTCATGGGAGAGGTTTGCTGAGGGACTTCACATCGCTAGTGTCTGTGTTGGCAGGTCCTTCTTCCCACCCAGGTGCTTTTCACTTGACACTGGCGGGACGGTATGCGACAAGGAGAGGGAGAAGAGGCAATGAATCAGTGAGAGATGAGAAACGCTGCCAGACGAGGAGTTCGGTAGCTTTTTCTCTCTTCCGCTGGAGTCTGCCATAGTAGCGTCCAACCAGACTGCGAGATCACGGCGTGCGGGGCGGAGGGGAGGACAAGAGGGGAACGGGAAGAGTGCCACATCAGGCAGCACAGCCGGGCATGAGGGGACAGAGCTGAGCTCAGCGTGGGAGAAATGCTATGCAAAGCAATTAGCTGGAGTTGTGCTTAACGAAGTCAGACGAAGCCCCAGGTGGGCACTTTTCAAGGAGGGCTCTGTACGGAAATGGAAATGGTTCTAAGAAACACCCACCCGAATCTGGTCCCCGTTTCACTTGACTCAGCTGCCAGCTCGGAGCACAAGTTGCAACGGCACATCAAGGGCAGGACTGCTGTACAGGCGAGGCCAAAACCTGGTCCGTTGTTGGTTTCTTTGACACGATTGATTGTGAAGGCACGGTCTCCATTACCACAGCCTGAGAGCACGCGATAGCCCTGAATGCTGTTAGTGAGTAAGTGCTAGGAGAGTGTCAGAATTACCCCTTTGCAGATGGGACCCTAAGACATGGAGAGGAAACTTGCCCAAGGTCAAACAGCGGGGTCTGTGGCAAAAGAGGCATCCCGAGTCCCAGGCTTGTCTTCTAACCCCCGAGCCATCCCTCCTTGCAGCTCGCGGTACTGAAAGCAATCACCATCATCGTCATCACGGGATCTCCTCCTCCTCGCTCCCCGGCCCCATCGCACAGTATCACCTTCCTGCCACGTGATGCCGTCTTGACACACGGTTGTGATGCTCAACCGGGAATCTCATGCTGCATTGTGGATGTGCCTATCACCCCCTCCCCTGCCCCTGCCCGGCAGCAGCTGCAGGTGTGCACAGAGCAAGCAGGGAAATAGGCTCCGGAGAATGTGCACAAATCTCCTCGCTCCATCTGGTGCCGCCGCACAGGTGGAGATTCCCCCTCTGCCCCTCCCCTGCAGGCAGCGTGGGCCTGATCCTGCAACTGTAACAGCAGCAAAAAGGGCTTTGGAAAGAAAATATCCCTTTTCAGAGGCCCAAATCAATAAGCTGCAGCTCAGACTCTGCAGTGGGCGTGAGTTAATCATCAGGTTGGAGGCAAGATAGAGTCTCAGGAGCTGCTTGTTCCTCTTTGAAGGGATGCCGCTGCCTCGCTGTTAGGGCTGGAAGCCACGCAGGCTTTCCTGAGAGCTGCCATGGGCAAAGGTTGCTTCCTCCCCATCCCCAGTCCCCTCCAGGCAGGGGGTGAGAGTGGAAGGGGAGTGCACAGCGTGCCGCCAACACCGCCTGGTCTCCCGAAGCCTGGCTCAGACCCAACTCAGGCTAAGTCCTGGCACTTGCTTCCACCCCGGACTACAGTTCACCTGTGCTTCCCCCCCAACTTCTTCCATTCGGCTTCCCCTTGCCTTGTCAAGTCATGCTCGTAGCCCCACTAACTCGTGTGGGGCAGAGGTGCTCAAGCTAGTGAGGCTGCAGGGGTGCATATAGGGACTGCACCCCCCTGTTCCTACAGAGGCAGAGAAGCGAGCAAGCCAGCGTTTCCAGCAGGCACCCACCAGGCCGTGTGATTGCTCTTCTCTCTCCATTCAAACACCCACCATAAAGGACTCTGTGATTTGGCGGCAGCGCGTACGTTGCTTTCAATAAAACGTCTCCCTCCCGAGTCCTCGAAGGCCTTCTCAGGCGGCATTAACCCCAAATTAAAGTGATTGGGGCTGGCAATCAGAAAGGCTCGGCATACGGGTGGTCTCCTTCCACGAGGCCCCCGACCTTGTCAGCTGCCATTGTGCGGGGAGCGCTGCCTTCCGTCAGCCGCGCCGGCTCCGATGCCTCCCGTGGAAAGGCATAGTTCATTAAGCAGATGTTAATGCGCAGCCTTAATCTCTCTGCTCAGTGTGATAACTCCCGCCTGATTTGCATGGTAATTGCCACGGCAGGAAGAAGAAGGGAGCTTTGCAAGCGCGGTCTGTGCGGCTTGACAGGCTGATGGAAGGCACCTCAGAGAGGCTGCCAGAATTAGGCAGTGGGAGCCCTAATGTGAGGGTGCTTGCTGGGATTCGTTTCATGGCACGGTACCTCTGTGCCCTGCCTTGGGGAGGACTCCACGTTCTGCGCTGGGTCCAAGTCTCTTGCTGCTGCAGGCATCATAGCACGCTCCCCCTTCCTCACCCTCCTGCACCCCAGCTCAGACACCGGCATGCGAAGGGGCAGAAAATAGCCCATGTCACTGCTGGAAGAAGTACTGTCTAGCAGCAGCAGCTGACACCCTTCTCAGACCTTGGACCTCTTCAGCCCCAATCTGTCTGGAAGTAGAAATCTCACTCTTCTTTGTCACTGCTGCCCGCAAATTTGTGACTCTGTTATCCTCCATCCTCCTACCGCCCCCAGCAGAGCTGAGCTTGTTAGAGACGATAGATCCTGCAGACGTAGTGAAGCAATTAATTGCCCCCCATCACTCTTCCCATTGTGAGGCTGCATCAGCAGGTCCTGCATGCCTGTGATTTGCCCTGTGTGCACCTGAATCGGTCTGAATCCCCTTCAAACCATGTCGTGGCCACCACGATGCACCTAAGGGAACATCAAACCCATATCATATGCACAAGCCATTCCCTTTGAGCCACAAGAGAACATCACTTAGCTTGTAACAGCATGGAGCACAGGGCAGAAAAGTTGAGCAGATGTTATTCCATCTGATCTCATAAGAATACATGGTTAATAGTTCCCTGCAAGGCAGGGAAGTGATGTTTTCTCTGCTTTATGGGTAGGGAAAAGAGGGATAGAAAGGGGTGACCCACTCATAACCACCCAATGTGTCTGTGGCAAAGCCAGGAGCTAGCCCCAATGTGCAGACAGTGATGTACACAATGCACCGTCCTTCCACCCATGGGCACGCT